CGGAGCAGGAACCACATCTTAAACCACAAGCAAAAATGGAATGGCGTGTGACTTTAAAAACTCAAAGCCTGTACCTAGTAACACACCCCCTCCAGCAAGGCCACACCTCCTAACCTACTCAAACAGTGCCACTAACTGGGGACCAAACATTTAAACATCTGAGACTGTGGGAGACATTCTCATTCATGCCACCACAGCCTCCCAATTAATTGTTTTATTAGGAGCACAGTTATAACGGCTAACTTCTCAACAGTAGCACTAGCTAATACCTAATGAGATAAAACCTTCAAAATGCAGAGAATAAATCAACTTGGGTCATCTTCCCTGGTTAAACTACAAACAGAGAATGAAATACTTAACCAACAAAAGACCTTCACTTAAGGAGACTTTTAGAGGATAAAGTGGAAGAATGATGATTTTTTAAAAAGTAATGCCTAAGTTGTAGAGTGAATGTTAAAAATCAGATTGAAATATATCGACTGAATCATAAGCATTCTGTGAGTCCTCTGTACGTCAGGAGTATGACAGCAATTAGCATCTGACTTCATATGGATGCTAAGATTTTGAACAGAAGTACTAAAAAAAAAAAAAAAAGATGTGATATATAGAACATGGAAGTAGAAAAAAGAGAGAAATTCTTCATGTAAAAGAAACCAAGGCTGGAGACAGGAAAGAAACCCAAAGAGTAGAAGAGATTTAAATAAGCATTGTAATGAGAGTGAATGGGCTGTGGCTGCTCTCCCTGAAGACAGGGCTTAGGAAAGAGAGATCGGATACTGAAGTTCAAAGTCAGGAAGACCCTCACACGTTCTCAGAGGACTAAGTTACAGCTCAGCCTGCGCCTGGCATGTGTGCCTGTGTTTGCTAAGTGGTCATTACTGTTGTACTAAGTCAGTGGGTCATGATCCCCTTGGGGGTCAAGCAACCCATTCACAGGCTGGCTTTTCTAAATCCTACATACCATATACTTACATTATGATTTGTAGCAAAATTATAGTTATGAAGTTTGAAACAAAAATAATTCTATGATGGGCGGGGAGGCAATCCCCACAACGTGAGGAATTGTATTAGAAGGTTCCAGCATTAGAAAGGCTGAGGACAACTGTACTAAGAGCGTCTGTGGGTGTCAGGTCTCCTGAGCCACTGTGCTTGAATTCAGTACCAATGCTGGCACAGGTTCAGTCCGGTCAGTGCTCATCACTAATCAAATGTCAGATACTTTCAGGTGGCATTCAGTAGCTTTCATTTGCACCCAATGTCTCTAAAAGTCGGTGTTCATAAAAATGACATGTGTACATTTTAAACGAATAACCAGTAAATTTGTGAATCACGAATTAAAGAGACACAAGTACCACAGTAGTGCCCAGGAGAACAACTTTCACATATTTTTTCTATTCTGTGTCTGTGCTGGCTAGGTTTGGTTTTGTTTTGTTTGTTTTTGTGTTTTTCTTTGTTTGTTTTTGTTTTGTTTTGTTTTTTGTCAGCTTGACACAGGCTAGAATCTAGGAAGAGGAAACGTCAGTTGAGGAGTTGCCTCCATCAGACTGGCCTGAGGGCAAATCTTTGAGAATATTCCTGGTTAATAATTGATATTGGAGGGCGATGCCTCTGTTGAGCAGATGCTCCTGGATTGTGTATGAAAGGACGCTGAGCAAGCCACGGGGCGCAAGCCAGTAAGCAAGGTTCCTCATGGCCTCTCCATCAGCTCCTGCCTTCAGGTTCCTAACCAGAGTTCCTGCCCTGACTTCCCTTAGTCGTGATGGACTATTATAGTTTTAAACTGAAATAAACTCTTTGCTGCCCAAGATGCTTTGATGCATGGTGCTTATCACAGCAACAGAAAGCAAACTAGAACAGTGTCTTTTCATATAAACATCAGGAATTAAATCACACACCATATTCTTTCTTCTGTCAAAAACATAGAGATAATTAATTGCTTCCAAAGCAGGAGTTGAGTTTTCTAAATTTTTCTGCAAATCAGCAGCTATAGCAACTATTTCTTTACAGGCATTGCATATCACAACTACTTTGATTCCTGTTGTTATGTGCAAAGTAGCCATAGCCTTGTGTACATGAGAGGGCATGGCTGCACATGAGAGGGTGTGTGCACATGAGAGGGCGTGGCTGCACAAGAGAGGGCTGTGTATACATGAGAGGGTGTGACTGCATTCCATTCTATTTGGGGATACAAATTCAAATTTCAGGCAACTCTTAATCTATCACAAAGCATGATTCTGTTTTGATTTTTTAAATATTTATTTTATTTTTAATTATGCTTATGCACGTGTGTCTGTGTCTGGGTATGTACGCATGACCACAGGTGCCTGTGGAGGTCAGATGCATTAGATTCCCTCTAGAGTTAGGTGACCCACCAGAGACAGAAACCACTCAATGTGGATGCTGAACTCAGATTCTCAGCAAGAGCAGTTTGTGTCACTAACCACTGGGCCATCTGCAGTCACCATGATTACTTGGAGTACTTTAAAATGTCAAATTGTTCTGTGTGGGTGTGGTGGGCTGGGGTATTGGTCTTTTGAGATCATCGTTTGCTGACTCTAGTTCTATGATACGTTCACTAAGGACTGCACTGTGTTCTGTTATTCAGACATACCTCATACATTGCCAGTGACTTGTTAGTATAAAATTATTCACCAGTACAAATAAAACTTTTAAGAAACTTTTTTAAAATTAAAAAAAATTATTCTCCTCTTATATATTACATCCTGACCTCGATTTCTCCTCCCTTCACTCCTCCCAGTTCCCCCACCCTCCTCCTCTCTCCCCCAGATCCACTACTCCTCCACTTCCCTTCAGAAGAGAGCAGTTTAAAGTCTTACAACAATAGATGAGTTGTCAAGTCACAAAAACGCGTGTGGAACCTTAAGTGCATATTGCTAAGAGGAAGAAGGCAGCATTTAGAGACGGACCCGTGTGAGTCCAGTGACAGGACTTTCTAGAAAAGAGGGATCCGAGAGATGACAACAAGGTCAGCGACTGCTCGGAGAAGAGTGAATGGGTGGAACATGGTGAATGGGTAGAAGGAAGGCTTTCTGGGTGGTAAAAGCACTCTGTGTGTGCTGTAATCGTGGGAACCTGCCTTAACGTGTGTATCTAAACCCGCAGAACTGCGGCATAAGAGAGAACCTAATGTACACCACAGACTTCAGTTAATAATACTAATCATGGGGCTGGACGGATGGCTCGGTGGTTAGGACCACCTGTTGCTCTTGTGAGCTTAGTTCCCAGCACCCACATGGAAACATCCATAATTGTAGTTCCAGAGGATTTAATACTCTCTTCTAACCTCCACGGGCACCATGTCCATGTGCAGTACACATAACATGCACACAGGCAAAGCAGTCATCCACAGAGAATAAAATAATTTTTTTTAATTTAAAAATTAATATTGGCCCATCGGTTAAAGAAAAAAACCCAAAAAACAACCAGGCATGTTGCTGCATGACTTTAATCCCAGTACTCGGCAGGTATATCTTTATGAGTTTAAGGCAAGCCTGGTTTAAATAGCTAGTTCCAGGACAGCCAAAGCTGCATAATGAAACCCTATCTCAATAGAAACAAGTTTTGTTTCTACATAGTGAGACACTGTCTCAATAAAAACAAGTTTTTTTTAAATAATAATCAACATTGGCCTGTCAGTTGCAGCAAACATGCCATAGCAGTGTTCGCTGATACTCTGTGTGAGAAGGTGAGAGGATGGTAATTGTTTACTTCCTGCTCCATCCTTCTCTAAAGCTTTAAGTATTATTTTAAAAAAAACCAGTTCCATTAAGAATTTATCTTTAACATACGCAGATGCTGAGATGGCACGGCAGTTAAGAGTTGGACTCAGTTTCCATGCACATGGTGCTCACAGTCACCTATTCCAGGGCATCCGATGCTCTCTCCTGTCTCCAGCAGGCACCAGGCACTATACATACATGTAAGAAAAAGACTCATACACATAGAAGAATAAAGCTTTAAAAAAATTATTAACATATGCAAGAAAGAAACATAGTCGCTATAAAAGTTCTGAAGAATACAGAAATATTAACAGGACATAAGACCCATAAGCACTAACTGCCGAGATGCCCACTTTTATTGTTAGGATGCTGTCAGTCTAGATTTTTCTCCATATATAAAAGACATGCACACAGGAGATGCTGACCTGGTTCAGTACTTAAGAGCTCTTTCTGCTCTTGTAGAGGACTTGGGTTTAGTTCCCAGCACCCACATTGAGTGGCTTACAACTGTAACTCCAGTTCCAGGGGATCCGGTGCCCTCTTCTGGTCTCTGCAGAGGATAGGCACACACACATTACACATACAATGGACATGCATACATGCAGGCAAAACACCTGTTCACATAAAAATAAATCTTGAAATAAAGATGCATTTACTTTTGCGATTGGATGGATCTGCATTAGAATTTTTTGAGGCTGTATTTTACATAGATCAGGCTAGCCCCAAACTTGAAGTCCTTTTACCTCAACCTCTCTAGTTCTGGGATGGCAGACATGTACCGCTACACTGGGTCATATAATAGTTTTGCATATATCAAATAGAAACATGCAGATCTTCTTTATTCTACATCATTCCATTGTATAAGTCTATCATTACTTTTATTTTCCCAATTCCAAATAAATTGGCATTTAGACTCTCCCATGTTTTGCTACCACATACTACATCGTGATGAAAGCCAGCATACCTCTATCTTTGGGGTCTTGTTAGCCAACTTCTGAATTGTTCTGAATTGCCCTCTTGATAGGTTTTCCAAGTTTATATTACCTTTGGTGGTGTTGTGAACCAGTCTCCCAACTCCTGCCAACAGCAGATATTGTTTGTTTTCAGTCCTAGCAATATTACAGGAAAATGTCTGTTAGGAACAGAGATGAATCTAGACTCCCCCTGTGAATTGCCTGGATGATTTCCACTGTGCCAGCCAGAGTGTTCTCTGTTTATCCCAGTGTCTTACCATCCATCTGTGTCTCCCGTGTTTTGCAGTTGCGCCAGTGGCCCGACTCATATACAAAGAAGTTTGAGCACAGACTCTACCCTATCACATTTTCCGTCGGAAACCCTCAGGAATGGAAGAAACTATTCAAACCCTGTGCGGCCCAGAGACTCTTTCTTCCGGTAGGACCCCTGTTGTTAACAAGATGTAGCTTGGGAAAGACTTCCACTTGGAAACAGGGAAATCAGCTAAGGTGCTTAGAGACCCTTACTATGGGGGATCCGGTGGAGGGATAAAAGTGCCCCCTTCCGTTCTGTGATTGATGTCCTCAGCCTGCAGTGTGCAGACAGGTGGCTCCTCTAGTTCTAGTCTTGGAGGTTTTCCTCAAGATTTTGGGTCTGAGAGCATCCAAAGCATAACTTATACAAAGGACTTGGTGACTGTTTTGGGTTTACTGGTTTGTGAACCTTAGCCTCAGCTTCCTCCTTGTGCATGGCTTAAAGCACTTGGTCATGGTTAGCTTCTGTTAACAGTTCTCAAACAGCAACTACCACAACTAGATGTAGCCAGATATTCACAAAGGCTCCAGAGTTCAGGCTTAGCCTTTCAGTTTTGGAATTTTTAATAGAATGTTTTTGTTTATTTAAAATCGTTAATGTAGGTAGGGGCTATAGCTCAGTAATTTGCCAACCAGGCCCTAGCTGGGTTTTATATCTGGTTGCACAGAAAAGAGAGGGGGCAGGATAGAAAAAGAGAGTGGGGAGAACAGAAAAGGATACATCAAAGCTGAGGCATTGAACTGGGAGGGAAATCCACTTCGAACTACAACCTTTATATTTCTGAGGGATCGATACCTTTCCATAGATATTTGATATACTGTCAATTAAGTGACCATTGTCCTGTTCCCTAAACCTTAAGTCTGACAGGAGCTTAAGTCTAATCAGGACTGAGACAGAGAGAAAGCACCATGGCTATGTTATAGACAATCCTATTGTGTCCTGGAAGAGATCTTAGCGACCATTTGTGGCAAGACACAAATGAAGTGAGGTTACTGGGTGAGAAAGGTTTGGGGAGGAGAAGAAGGGAGGGGTGGAGGGATAGAAGGAGGGAAGAAGGAAGGGAAGGAGGAGAGGTAGGTTCAGGCAAGAGAACAGTGTGTGGGAAGAGACATGTTTCCCATAATAAGGTTCATGAAACTATAGCAGAGATGGAGATTGAGTTGAAGGTGTCAGCAAGGCTCCTACTGCAGGCTCTGAAATCCCCTGAGATGGCTGCTGTTTATTTAAAGGCAGAGGGAAAACATTGTATGAATCTAGAATGGAAAGTGGATGACCTGACTTGTGTTTTTTAAGAAGACAAACTGTTAGTGATAGATTTGGGAGGTGCTTGATGAATGGATTTACCAACTCCTATTGGAGTTAAAGTGAGAGGGTTGGGGGGGGGGATGGAAAGGATTTCAGCCAGGTTTTGGTTGATTCCGTTCCAATTGTCAGTATCTAATCATTAATGACCTACTTAAGGAGAGTTTCTCATAATGCCCTGTCTAAGAAATAGAATATTTTATAGAAATAGAGGAACTCTGCAGGACCAACAGTTTGGGTAAGGAAGTTTAAATTGCATGGTGTTTGATTTGGAGGGGTCTAGGGTTATTGAGGGTGGGATGCTTCTCTATCTGTTGATTTGAAAACTTGATTGGTGAGTGATAACCTTAGTATTTCCAACACAGAGGAGAGCATAGCCTGGGCATATGGCTGGTGCCATGCTGCTATCTAGGATTGTCACTTATTTATTTTCTTAGAGATTTATTTTTATTTACGTGTATATATACTGCGTGTGTGTACCTGCCCACAGAGGGTTGAAGAGGACATCAGATCCCCTGGTACTAGATTACAGGCAGTTAAAAGCCTCCTGTCATGGGTGCTGAGAACTGAACTCAGGTCCTCTGCAAGGGCAGTGTGCACATTTAACCACTAAGCCGTCTCAACAGCCCCAGCTGCCATGTAATTAAATGGCCTGTTTCTACCACGTGCAGACCCATCTACACCATGTGAGATGAGTTATTTGTACAAAAACATGGGCGAGGAATGACTGCCTGAAAATGGAGCTAAAATCTCTGGAATGAGGATGGTCCCCATAGTTGTTCTTTGAGGTGAGAAATGGTACCATGCTTCTGCTTTTCTCTCTATTTAAGGAAATATTAGAAAGCCAGAGTTGCAGTTGGGAAATTGTCTACCAACCCTATGTAAGGTTTGAGCAACTCAATGGAAGAACATTTGAATTCTCTCTACCTTGAATTGTGACTTCATTACCTTACTAAACAATTCCACCCAACCAGGCTCATTCCAGGATGAGAACAATTCATTACAGCTAAGCGAGCTGTCTGCTTTGAATGACAAATGGATGTTAGTATTCCTTATCTGCCTCTGGTAATGGAAACCAGCCCTTCTTAAAAATAATAAAGAGAGAGTGTGGCTGTCAGGTTGTTTACTCCTCCCAAGTCCTACATCATAATGGCAGATTATGAGCATGGCTTTGGGGAGCATTGTTGAGATATATTGACCTTCTGGGAAGTCTGAAGTAAAGTCTAAGTCATATCTCCCATGAAACCCTTTTCTATGAACCTAAATCTCATGTGCTGCTAAGGCTGCACATGGAAAATGAAGCCCTGTGATACAAGCATTCTAGGAGGTGGCTGGCTGGAAAAGAACCATGGATTTGGCCATCTTCTGCACCATCAGTGTTTGGACTCTTAGCCTCCAGCTGAACATGCTATTTTAGAAGGTTCCAGAACTAGTGTGTGAACTGTGCTAGAGGAAGTGGGTACAGAGAGTGGGCCTGGTGGGCCTTTTAGCCTGGCTCTATATTCTGCCTGTTCTCTGCTTCCTAACTGCAGATGCAATGTGACCTTTTGTTTTGAGCTGCTTACTACCCCACCTTCTCAATCATGAGGGAACTGTATGTCTTCAAACTGTGAGCCAGAGCAAACCAGTCCTTCTTTTATTTGTTTTCATGGAATGTTTTGTCACAACCTTGAGGAAAGTAACTAGTTGGCATCTCCCTCAGTAGAGACACACAGTAGAGATCCTTTCTTAACTAATACACAGTTCTCTCAATATGGCAATAAGTGTATATGGTATATGGACCAGTGCATGTGTGAGGGTGTCCAGGTGTGGAGGCCAGAGGACAGCATTGTGTGTCTTGTTTGATCACTCTCAGCCTTGTTCCTTGGAACAGAACCTGTCTCTCAACATGGAGCTAGGCTGCGAGCTAGTAAGACCCAGTGATCCTCCTGTCGCCAATGTGTGCATAGTCACACCCAGCTTTTTATGTGGGTCTTAGAGGTCTAACACTCACATAGCAAGGACTTACCCAAGGAGCCTTCTCCCCAGTCCTCAACTCTTAAGATAATGTTTTTAAAAGGCTATTTCTTGGGCCAGCTATCTAAGTGGCAGGGCTCTGCTTAGCTCTGCCATCATGTTCCCCAGCCAGAGGCCACGCACAACAGCTATTAAAAAAAAAAATGCTCAGAGGCCACACTCATGCCACAGCTAGAAACAGCCAGCCAGAAACACCAGCCCTGGTACCCATGAGATGCCAGCATGGGAAATGGCTCTGCCAGTCTACCATGCTGTCTCCACAATGGTTGGCTGAGCCCAGACCATCCCACCATCCCGCCATCTGAGAGGTACTGGGTAGAAATGAGACTCTAATGCTTAAAGATTATCCAAAGGCTTTATATGTTTGGTAATGCTCAATTAACAAGATGCCCATACAATTAGATGTGTTACTCAATTAACTAACCTAGATATAAGTTATAGAACCCAGGACAGACCTGGACCTGTGGTTCTCCATGGCTCCTACATCTTGCCTCCTCCAGCTCCACTTCTTCCTTCTCCTCTTCCTCTCCTTACTCCTCCCATATTAGCTCCGCCCAAATTACCGAGTTTCTTGTAAACTGTAGTGGTGGAAATATTCTGCTACACTCAACTAATATTTTATCATCAGAGAAAAGATTTTTGCATTTCATGCCTATCGGATTCTGACACACTATTAAGGGAATTCAGATTTCACCAGTACTTGGGTTATGAAGCCCTGGAGATCAGTTTGCTTTTCTGCTTCTGGGGATAATGGCCAAAGGGGTAAGACTTTTATTGGTGAAGCTACACTACAGGTGGCTTAAAGTTCTCTAATGTGCATCTTTCTTCCTGGCAGTTTGGTGGTTTAAAGTATTCCAAACAATATGCCAACTGCAAATAAATCAAATTTAATAATAATACCCAGGAAACCGTTCATTCTCCCAAAATATTTGTCTTGAATGATCACAGACTATCATCTTTCCCCCAGCTAATGGGAAGTTGCAGTGCTTTTTAACAGCTGCACATATTGCTACCCACTGTACTCTCTGGATCACAGAAACTCCTCAGGAATGCAGGTGTGTGAGGATCATAGTAATGTTTAGAATACAGCAGAAGTAACTGAAGAGCAGGCTGTTCAGGAACTCGATTGGCAAGGAACACCTAGCATGGCAGGAACACGCCATTCAGGCTTTCCTCCAGGAGAGAGGATTCGACTGAGTTTTAATTGATATGTTCCTAGTTATAATAACGTCTGATGTCTTTCTTTGTGATGGCGTGTCAATGCAAATTGCAGCTCTTCCGCCAAAGGAAATAAGAGATCGTTTATTCTGAGCCAACGATTGGGAAAATGCCCCACAAACATGGACTCAGAATGCTCTGAAAGGTGTGGTCCACTGTGGAAGTGGCTGCACAGATTTTTATAGTCACATCACAAAACAGCCATAAAGCCCAAGACCATTGGCAGGGACATGAGGCAGGCAGACTACCGTACAGTAGGGAAGTCTCTGTGGAGGATTTCCAATTCTATCTGATGATACTCTTAGCTTTGGGTGTTAGGGATTGGTTCTAATGTCTGTATTTAGTTTGGCTCCTAAAGGCCACGTTCCCAGACACTGAAGGTCTCTGCCCCCAGCTAGATTTGATTGGTAATGAAGAATTACTATATAGCCAATGGCGGGACAGGTGGACTGAGGCAGGACCTAGACATTTGAGTGTAAAGGGAGAGATCGCAGTGACAGGGAAGAAGAAAGACCAGACCTAAAGGCCCACCAACAAGTGAGAATCAGGGAAAGTGGCCACACGGACCACTTCCCCAATTATGTTTT